ATGTTAGATTAGCTTTGCTGAGTTGGAAATCTACCTTGAGGACTTATTCAGCAAAGCTGATCAGTGAATGTAAACAAAATTTGGGAGTGCTTGAATCAGAGGGGGGCTTTAGGGATTGGGACAGCTGGGGGGAATATAAGAGGGTGTTGAATCAAGCTTACAAAGATGAGGAGACCTACTGGATGTTGAATTAAGAGGGTGTTGAATTAATTAAATATAATTAATCTATTATATTATATATACACTTAGGTTAAAAAAAATGGGGGAGAGGGAGGGGGGGCACATGTACGTCCGCCCCTGCTCCCTCAGCGGATACATCCGAAAAAGACAGTAGACAAAGCCGATTCCGAGGAGCTTCGAAGCTCCGATACCACGCCCACCACTATAAAGGGCCTAGCAAGATGATGACCCAAGCCTCAAAAACAATATGAGAGCTCGACCCGCACTCCAGCCGCAAAAAACCACTAACACCCCCCAACTGACTAACACCACTTGCCGATCTGATACTCTCCCGAAGCAGCCTAATAGCACTAGCCTACTCCGGGGACCGTCGGTCTCTCCCATACTCAGAAACTAAGAAAGGAGGGGAAAGGGACGAGTAGCTTTCCTACTTGACCGCTCCGACCCTATTGTAGGAAGTTGTGAAAAATAATATTATGCTTTATTTGAATGGTTTTGGATTTTAAATATTGATAATTGTTACGGTCGTTTGTACTAACGTAGCCTGCGTTTATTTTGAAAAACTAAAATATTAATATTGGCTTAATATTGTTCAGACTCTGTTACGCCCCTTAAAATGTCGTATTTATTTTTCGAAAATTGGGGCATTACAAACTATATTATTGATGTTTTACAAGTTACCAATATGTTATTTTCTGTCTCCGTGATGGACCAGGATATCCAAATGTATAACATCAGAACATAAGAAAGATTAATTAATTATACATAATCTCATTCAGAAAGAAAGATATTGTTTATTACGCTAAAAATCGAGCTTTATGGCGTGGAAGGGTCATCGGGTGGAGAAATTGTGGTCGTCATGATGTAATAAGAGATGGTCGCCAACAGATCGGAGTGGATCGTTGATATCAAAGTAGATCGGTGAAGATCAGAGTAGATCTAGGGTTTTTAGCCTTAGAGAAAAAAAGCAAAAANNNNAAAAAAAAAAGCAAAAAATATGCGAGAAATGGGAAAAAAAATATGTGCAGCGGAATATGAATCGAAAATTTGACTAACAAATGACACAATAACCGATTTCATTGTATGAATTTGCAGTAAGATTTCAATAGAAGAGAATCAGAGAAGATGAAGAAAAAGGGGCAAAAGATTTCCATTAAGAAGATGAATTTAGATGAAACTCAAATC